TGGGCGAGGCTCTGGGCTTTGCTGTTTTTCTCTCCCCGGGTGCCGGCTACGACGCTGCATTCGGTTCATGGAAACTCGCCCCGCCAGTGTCTGTGGCCTGGGACTCTCCATACACCAGGTGTGCACCACCCCCTGCAGCTTCCCCACAGCGTGTACCTCGGCAAGTAGGCAAGGTCGCGAGACGTATCAAGGGAACACTCGGGCTGCAGAGTAAGCAAGGTGACCGAGTGGACGCTGCGGGGCGTGCTCCCTTCAGTCCGCCTTCTCTCCTGTCCGTCTTCCTGCGGCACCCTCGCCCCACCCCTCCTCCCCCTGGCATGCAGCGGGACAGGCCTAATTTGTAGACTGAAAGTCGCTGGAGGAATGGGACACCTTTCTCATTCACGAATGAGGAAACTGAGGCTTGACATGGCTGCTCATGATGGCAGAACTGGTTACAAATATGCTCGAGACCGCACGGCCAGCCTCCCCTGCCAGCCAAGGGGTCTGGAGTCCCCTGCCTCCATGGTGGCCAGCCGACTCGCACCGTGGCACCAAGACCCCACCTTGCAGGCCCTCGGGCTACGCGTGCGAGGCCCTCTGGCCTCTCCCAGCAAGTTCTTTCTGCAGGGCTTGTCCCCACAGAGCACAGACAGCCTGAGAGGGCGGGCCAGGTGCCTGGTGTGGCCACGTGTGCCCCGTGGCTGCCTCCCAGAGGCCGAGCCCTGTCTGACCCCGCGGCCTCCTCCTCCCGCAGGTCCTCGCCCGCCGTCATGAAGATCGCAGTGATCGGGCAGAGCCTGTTTGGCCAGGAGGTTTACTGCCAGCTGAGGAAGGAGGGCCATGAGATCGTGGGTGTGTTTACCATCCCAGACAAGGACGGGAAGGCAGACCCCCTGGGTGAGTGACTGGCCCAGAACAGGGAAAGGGGGAGGGAGTGGGAGTGGGCTGCCCCCAGAGAAGGGGTAGCAGCGAGCAGGTGGAGCAGATGGGGGCCTAGGGCGGCCCTGGCAGCGGTGGCGGGATCAGGTTAGTACAAGGTCGCCCCCAAGTCCTGCTCCGGTGCCTGCTGGCTACCGGGTCTCAGGTTAGCGGAGCCATTTGCGGGGCTGCGTCAGAGAGGGCCGCAGATACTGCCAGCTTCTCGCCCGGCACCCGACTCAGTGTCCTCAGACGGGACGTGCTGTGCCGCGCTCACAGGGACGAGGGAAGGTGCTGAGCCCACTGGGGGTCCCACCGGAAAACTGAGTACCGAGATGCGTTCAGTGGATCGGGGACAGAGGCAAGAGCGCGCCCTGTGAGTGGGGCAGTGGGGGCCGGCCCCTCAGGCTGAGAGCGGAAAGCGGAGTTGCCGGAAGCTGGGAGCGGCCGTGACCCCGGCCCAGGAGAGGAAGCTGCTCACAGCGCAGCACATGGCTGGGGAGGTCCTGCAGGCGGGGGCTGGGTGTGCGTGTGCGTGTGCGTGCGTGCGTGTGTGTAGAGGGACTTCAGAGCTTCTGCGGAGAAATGGAATTAACCTGAGTTTATTTGGGTGTGAGAAGTGTTGGAAGCCCACGCCGGGTTTCCTGTGACGTGCATTTCCACGAGCTCTTTGAAGAGCCGTCGTGTGGAGCTCGTTCTGAAGGTGCTGGAGAGGCAGAGCCGGCTGCCGGCTGGGCAGGACCGCGGCTGGGGGTAGCCCTGGGGCACACGCAGAGCACAGGAACCCGCAGGAAGGCCCGATGCTCTGCGCTTCTCCCAAGGCTCCCCCAGCTGTCAGGGGACAGCCGACATGCAGGGTCTGCAGCGTGCCAGCCCCGACCAGAGAGTGGCAGCCGGGTGGGCCATAACTAGGAGAGGCGAGGAAGCCTGGCGGGCACGGGCAGGGTCTGGAGGAGACAGGTGCTCAGGGGCCCTGGGGGCCACAGAGGTTGGGGCCCTGACGTGGAGCAGGCCTGAAGCGTTGCTGTGCCCGACGTCCCTGTGGGGAAGGCCAATGGAGCCTGGCTGGGCAGGGCAGGGGCAGGCGTGGGAAGAAGGCCCAGGTGCTGGGGCGGCAGAGGGCGCAGTGCGGGCGGAGGCACCGAGGGACCAGCTTCTTCCCTGCCGCCCACAGGCCTGGAGGCTGAGAAGGACGGAGTGCCGGTGTTCAAGTTCCCACGCTGGCGGGCGCGAGGACAGGCCCTGCCCGACGTGGTGGCCAAGTACCAGGCCCTGGGCGCTGAGCTCAACGTCCTGCCCTTCTGCAGCCAGTTCATCCCCATGGAGGTGATCGACGCGCCCCGCCACGGCTCCATCATCTACCACCCGTCTCTGCTCCCCAGGCACCGGGGTGCCTCGGCCATCAACTGGTGAGACGGGCCGCACTGGTGGACCCGCGTGGCCTCTGCCTCCTTGGCCCCTCCCGGGCTGCCACTTCTGAGTGTTCGACCTGCCCGCCAGACCCCTGTCCTCCATCCCACGGCGGCTGCAGGGAGAGGTTATGGAGCTTGGCTGAGGCCACCGGGAGGGCGGGACTGTGGCACGCCAGCCCAGGTGGCCTGCCCAGAGTCCCGCTCTGACTCCCGCCCACACCCGTGGCTCCCAGCAGCACCCTATCTGGAGAGAGTGGAGATGGTGTGGACTAGACCAGCTAGCCCGAGGGACAGCACGGGGTGGGGGACACACCAGCGGACCGTCAGGGAGGGGCTGCTCGGACGGAAACGGGAGGGCGTGGTGTCTGACCGTCTGGAGGGGGCTAGACTCCTTACCTCGGGAGACATTGCTCTGCTCTGAGTCTCAGGTCTGTGTCCGCCCCACGGGCACCATGCCCACTGTGCCCGCCATGAGGACTCACCCGCCTAGCAGGGCTCAGTCCTTCTGGGGGACCCCCGTGCCTTCTCCTGCCTTCCTCTCAGACTCAGGGTCCCGCCCTTGTGCTTCCCAGGACCCTCATTCATGGGGACAAGAAAGGGGGGTTCACTGTCTTCTGGGCAGACGATGGCCTGGACACCGGGGACATCCTGCTGCAGAAGGAGTGCGAGGTGCTCCCCGACGACACCGTGAGCTCTTTGTACAGCCGCTTCCTCTTCCCCGAAGGCGTCAAAGGGATGGTAAGGGCCCGGGCGGAGGCGCCCTGCCTTCCCCTGACACCCCTGCCCGCTGGGCCTCCCTGCTCCCAGGCATTGTCTAGGCCCAGTCAGCTACCCTAGAAGCAGTGCTTGTCTGTACCCCAAACTGCAGAGTTCACGAGGAAAGGGGTTCAGAGAGGCAGGGCTACATCACTGGGTGCATGATATCAGGGGGCGGGGGGATCGTCCCATCTGAGAGCTCTAACCGAAAAGGGGACGTCAGGGCTCGTTTAATGGTATTGTTTAGCTCCACTCTTGGGTGGCTGCCAGCTCAAGGGTCACAGTTCTTCGTTCCAGGGGACAGGGAGCCTTCCTCCTCAAGGAAGACTCTGAATCGCTGTGCTAGTCACCTGCTTAGTGACGGACTCCTCTGATTGGCTGCTGCCGTGGGACCATGTGGCACAGTGTAGTCACAGGGTCTGGTTCTGCTGAGAGCTGGGTGACAGATGTAGGGATGAGTGTAGTTGGCAGAGCGGGTGGGCAGGTGCGCGGACCTGGGGGACGGCTGCTCGGGAGCCTGTGTGTGCGAGGCTGTGGGGCTCCAGCAGAGGGTCGGCGGCCCAGGACACCCTTGGCCGGGCGGGCAGGGGTGCGTGTCCAGAGGAGAACTTTTGCTGTGTGGAGTGGCAACTCTCCCTGAGCCACTCTGTGTCAGCTATCCCCTGTTCACTTAGCTGCCACTGCGTCGTCCCCACAGAATGGGCCGCTCCCCGCAGGGGA